CCCCCCCCGATCTGCCACTGATGTTTTGACTAATCTGCAATGGGGATATTATTTGTTGATAGGCGAGGGACCTTTCCAGTTGAGAGAAATGGCCACTATTGAATTTACATGTAAGCAGAGTGTCCCTTATTAATAACAATGAATGTGAAAGAGAGATGCCATTACTAGATTGGCAGGATGAGGAGGAGAGGGATGGATAATATTGTATGTGACTGTATAGGTAAATTTTAAACACAAACAAAAATGTTGTGGCCTCTGATTTCCCTTATTAGTTTGAACAAAGTTTGAAGTTGGGAAATCAGTCTCCGCCCGTCGGTCTGGAGTCATATTTCAGAACCCTGTGAACCAAATCTATTCATTATTTGCATGTGCCTTGTATAGTACTTCATCTGGGACATATGCACGTGCAGTGGTTTAATGATTTAATCCAAGATGGCTGACTGGCAGCCATTTTGTTTTTTGAAAATGTAGTATGTTATGCATGCTTTGTCAGTTTTTGTACATACATTGTACATTTAAGATTACATGTCCGTGACAATTTGGTTTACAATCACATCAAACATGGCTGACTGGTGACCATCTTGCTTTTGACCATACTACTACGGTATGTCTCCAAGGCATAGGGACCACTTTCAATCATATTTGGCACATACATCATACATATATGAATACACATTCATGTCAGTTTTTAAATGTGGTATTTTGGACAGTATTTGTTAGTTTTGTTAGTTTTCATTCAAATTTGATACAAATATTTTACATGTTGAGATACATGATGATTCCTTTTGTGTTTCGTATCTCTGTACATGTCCCTAGACAAATGAAATTCAAGTTGGATACAAAAAAATGCATGGATAGCATAATATCCTGTTGAATTTTTGAGCATATATTTCGATTTTGGAAGAGTCATTTATTTAATACATCTAATTTCTGTTGTTACTGGACCAGCCAATTATTCACTCAAAATTATTAACTATGCTTTTGGTGCATATTACTTTATTTTTGGCATGAATAATATTTCCTCTAATTCCAACGGGGACTATGTCATTAAAAAAATCTTGTATTTAGACCACAAGGTTTAATTTTATGGATGACATCCTCTGGAGACCCCAAAACTGATGCGAGAGGGCGAAAAAAAAAAAATCCTGCCAAAAAAAAAACGCTGCTAAAACCACAGGACTACAGAGCTGGTATTACGAATTGAACCACAGAACACAGTGTATCAAAAAAACAACAAGAAGTCTTTATTTGTAGGAGGCACATGTTGGTGTACACATCTCGAACTGTATTACTGTCACAGGTATAACCATTTCAGACAAGCTTGAGTTCATGTAGTCATGATGAAGTACCTTCAGTCAGAAACACTGTATTCAAGGTACAGCATGAACACCATTTTCAGTACAAGTCAAGGCGGAATGTATACATATTGAGGCAATCTCCTTAATAGGTTTTTGCGCTTTACGTAACGCGCATCTAACTGTGCAAAGTTTGGTTTTGAGGTAGTCCAAAACTAGTTTCACGTCAAGCCGGCGCTTTGTGACAATATGGGTCGGCCAGTTCCGGACAAAAAATTGATCTGTGGAGACTCGTCGTCAGAGATTGTTTTTTTTTTTTTTTGAGAACAGGTGAAAACTAATGCGCGCACAGATGTCATCCATAAAATTAAGTCAGTGTGGCCTTACACTTATTTTGTTAATAAATGTAAATTTAATTTTCTCAATTTACAAATTTAACAACTACAACTATAAATAGATGATTTTCTGTTGTGCCCATGCAATGACTTGCTAGTGAATTAGAACAACCAGTTGCGACACAGCAAATCTTCGTGTCAGTGGCGTGTCATATCGACTTAGAGGGCATATTGATGCTGCTGTTGTTGTTGTTGTTACAAATATACATGTACATTCACATCCAGTCTATTACAAATTTCTGCATTTTTTTTTGCATATATAAGAAATATTTTTTTTGCAGATTGAATCTGCCAATCTGTTGTTCAGTTCTGGGAATACCAGCTACGTGCTACATCAAGACGGTTATGAAAATATCATCACGCTGGTGGCAGGAAAGAAAAAGTTCTTTCTGGCTCATCCCAGGGACAGTCATAAGCTGTATGCAAACCAGTTTACAACGTTACCAGGATTATCACCAGTTCTACCAGACAAAGTTGATATGGAGAAGTTCCCGTTAGTTGCCGATTTGGAATATTATGAAGTTGAAATGGAGGCTGGTGATCAACTATATGTTCCTATGTTCTGGTGGCACCAGGTGGGTAACCTTTGATCTTTCAACTTTCACTTGGCAGTTCTATCTATTGTTTCTTTCATGTATACCGGTATAATATATAACCTTGGTATTTGAACCAGTGGAAGAACATTATGGAACGTTCGTCAACTCCAAAAGTCTCTCAGAGGTATTTTTGTTTATTTGAAACAATGAAAGAGAAGGGGATTGTGCTTGTCCTTGGTGGTGCAGAATCGTGTTCACACATGCATCGATCTTCCTTCTGCATGTCTTATCAAACTTTAAATCAGAACATTTTTTTGGACTACCTTAAAATTAAATTATTATCTTAATATGCAGACAAACCTAGCATGTGATCTGAAACATTAATATATTTTTACCGTGACTTATCTAAAAACTTTAAATATATGGCTTCTTTAATACTGATTTAATGTAATACTTAATACCTATATACATTTTCATTCAAAGGTGAGGTCATTCAACTCCCCAAATATTGCTGTCAGCCTGTGGTTTTACATTTTTGATCATGATGAGGACCTAACGAGAATGAATATTGATCCAGATATAAATATAGAGGAATCATCACTATTGTATCTGAAATATATCGCTAAGCAACCTGATACCATCAAATGTAAGAAGATGTCTAAAAATAAGAAGTTGGCTGTGGCGTTGAAAGAAAATAGACCTGAAGAATATCAAAACGCCAATGTTATGATAGAGACGCCACCCGATAAATTGATGCTAAGCGGATATACATGTAAGATTTTCTTAATATTGACACTAAAGGGCTGACCATTAGAAACCAGGAGAGAGGGAGTTATGGACCAAAAAATCCAAAATTTACATAGAGAATATTTTTAAAAAGGAAAAACTTCCTCTACCATAATCCCCCTCAGAACATTTAAGTGGTCAACCCCTTTGATGATGAATAAATGTGATGACATTTGTGTTCAGTGAAGTTAGAGGAGAAAAGATTTATTTAATTCGTCAATCTTGTCTCTCAGACAAAGCTTAGACTGAATGTAATATGTGCTGGTGCAAGGATAAACCGTGATCTGTACTTGCTGAATTCAGTGTTCTTT